AAAAAGAATATTGAAATGGCCAATAAGTACATGGAAAGATGCTTAATGTCTTTAGCTTAAGCCCCCAAATCAGTTGCTATTGAGCAGATTCTGACTCATAGCAACATGATAAAACAGAATTTCAGAAGAGACTCTGAAACTGGCTCTTGAATACATAGTAGTTAAAACAAATGGAAGAAATGAAGTAAAAGAGCTGAGCAGAAGATTTTACAAGGTGGCTTGAGAAGACAAAGTAAAGTATTATGATGAAATGTGCAAAGATCTGCAGTTAGAAAAACAAAAGGGAAGTATACACTTAGCATTTTTGATGTTGCAGGAACTGAAGAAAAAATAATCAAACCTCCGATTGCAATATTGGAGGGTTTTATGGACACAATATTGAATGACTCAGAGATCATCAAAAGAAAATGCAAGGAATAAACAGAGTTACTGTGCCAAAAAGAATTGAACAATGTTCAACCATTTCAGGAGGTAGTGTAAGACAAGAACCAACGATATTGAAGAAAGAAGTCCAAACTGCACTGAAGGCATTGGTGAAAAACAAGGATCCAGGAATCGATGGAATACCCATTGCTATGTTTCCACAAATAAATAGATGCAACACTGGAAGTGCTCACTCATCTATGCCAAGAAATTTGGAAGACAGCTACCTGGCCAACTGACTGAAAGAGATCCATATTCATGCCCATTCCAAAGAAAGGTGCTCATTTAAAAGAAAAGAAATGATCTAGAATGAAATCATTAATGTTGCATGCAAGTAAAATTATGCTAAAGATAATTAAAAAATGATTGCAACAGTATATCAGCAGGGAACTGAGAAACTCAAGCCAGATTCAGAAGAAGATGTGGAATAAGGAATATCATTATTGATGTCAGATGGATCTTGACTGAAAGCTGAGAATACCAGAAAGATGTTTACCTGAGTATGCAAAGACATTGACTGGGTGGATCATAATGAATTATGGATAATATTGTGAAGAATGGAAATTCCAGAACACTTAATTGTGCTTATGAAGAACCTGTACATAGACCAGGAGAACTATATGAAGTTGGACAACATGAGGAAGAATGTGACATCAGGATCGGAGGAAGACTCATTAACAACCTGTGATATGCAGATGACACAACCTTGCTTGCTGAACAAAGAGGACTTGAAGCACTTATTGATAAAGATGAAAGTCTAAAGCCTACAGTATGGATTACACCTCCATGTAAAGAAAACAAAAATCTTCATAACTGAACCTGTAAGCAACATCATGATAAATGGAAAAAAGATTGAACTTGTCAAGGATTTCATTTTACATCCACAATGAGTGCCCATGGAAAGAAAACAACAGTCAAGAAATCAAATTACATATTGTGTTGGGCAAATCTGCTGCAAAAGACCTCTTTAAAGTGTAAAAAAGCAAAGATGTCACCTTGAGGACTATAGTGCATCTGATTCAAGCCATGATATTTTCAATTCCCTTATATGCATACTAGAGCTGGACAATGAATAAGGAAGACCAGAGAAGAATTGATGCCTTTGAATCATGGTGAAGAATATACCATGGCCAACCAGAAAAATGAACAAATCTGTCTTGAAAAAGTGTAGCCAGAATATCCTTAGAATATCCTTAGAAGCTAGGATAGCAAAATTTTATCTCACTTTGGACATATTATTTGGAGGGACTAGTCCCTAGAGAGGACATCATGCTTGGTAAAATAGAAGGTCAGAAAAAAAGAGGAAGACCCTCAATGAGGCAGATTGACACAGTGGCTTCAACAATTGGTTCAAACATAGCAACAAATGTGAAGATGGTGAAGGACTGCGTAGTGTTTTGTTCTGTTGTACACAGGGTTGCTGTGAGTTGGAACTGACTTGACAGTCCCTAACAACCACAGGACAGAGTAGAATTGCCTCATAGGATTTCCAAAGATATAAATACGGAAGCAGACTGTCCCATCTTTCTTCCATGGAGTGGCTGGTGGGTTTGAACCACCAGCTGACCTCTCAGTTAACAGACAAGTGCTTAACCACTGTGCCACCAGAGCTCCTTTCATCAGCCATTACCAAACTCCCTGCCATTGAGTTGATTCTGACCCCTAGCAACCCTATAGGATAGAGTAGAACTCCCCATAAGCTTTCCAAGGCTGTAAATCTTTACAGAAGCAGACTGCCTCATTTTTCCCCAACAGAGTGGCCGGTGGGTTCAAATCCCCCAACTTTTGGTTAGCATTCAAATGCATCACCTCACAACCATTAGAATGGCAATAATAATAATAATAATAATAAATAACAAACAAAAAAGGAGAACAATAGATGTTGGTGAGGAGAAACTGGAGCCCTCACTCACTGCTGGTGAGAATGTAAAATGGTACAGCCACTGTGGAAAACAGTTTTGTCGTTCCTTAAAAAGTTGAACTCAGAATTGTCATATGACTCAGCAATCCCAATCCTAGACATATACCTTGAAGACATGAAAGCA